GTCTGGCCCGTGTATGGCATCTAAGTAAACAGTTTCTGCCACTAATAACAAGCAAGGTTTCCGGGAAAACGTATTATCAACTGTGTGTTGTACGTGATGTGCATCTCATTTGACTGTCCTTTGTCTGGCCCATGTATGGCATCTAAGTAAACAGTTCCTGCCACTAATAACAAGCAAGGTTTCTGGGAAATATGTATTATCAACTGTGTGTCGTACATGATGTGCATCTCATTAGAATGTCATTTGTCTGGCCCATGTATGGCTGTAGGTTATTTTTATGTCCAAAATTTGACAGCCCACAACAGTATTAAACAATACGCTATGGAGCGAGGGGTAAGGAGAAAAGAGGGATAGGAAAGAAAAGGGATGGGAGCACCTGCTATAAGAGCTGGTGTTTTTGTTTTCGGCCCACCCTTTTCTTTTTTAATCCGATCATGTCAGCTGTCAATATGTGAGCATTCAAAAGTAGGGGGCTTCTTAGCATGGTCCGAACTTAATTACTTTGTTTACCGGAAATTGTCAAGACGAGGTGTTTTTTTCAAGTGATATCATAATTGAACGAAATAAAACATTTTTAATGTACTTGCTCCCACAGCAAACACGACAAACATAGACTAAGAGCAGTCTCTCTTTTTTTTACTGCTCGCAGTCTTCGACAAACAATGATCAGTTTCTTGTGAATACAAAAGACATTATGTTGGTCTTACTTCGTCAAACACAATGGTCACAAAAAACAGAACAGTCACCAGGTTGAGACACGAATAATGAAAGGTGAATTATAAACAATTGTTAAAAAACTCAACGGATATTTTTTACCAAAGCTTCAGCTCTCTCTTTACAAACCATTCAGACGGTACATGTTTTTGCCAAAAAGGCGGTCTTTTGAATATCAGCATTCCAGATGTCTGGCAAGAATCGCAATTGGATCGATGTCGGATTAACACAAGGAAGTTTAGTACCAAAGGAACATCGTCTTTCCAGAGCTTTAAAACACAGCATCCGCCAACACAAACTTGACTAGAACTTAAGTAAAACTAAACAGTCTCTGCCAATAATAACAAACTCTCTCTTGAACTTCAGATATCTTACGGCTTCCACCAACTTGTAAACACAGAACTCGAAAATTGACCTTCGTCACACTTGACTAAGCACAGCACTCCAGCTGGTGGGAAAAAACTTAATTCGTCAAAACAACTTGCTTAGAACTAGTATAGTATTACACATAAGGTTCTTAAAAATACTAAACAGGCCAATGGTAGTAGTAACTGATGCAAATCTGCTCAATCATGCTCAAATGTAAACATGCCCTAATTAATTATTCATGAATGATCCAAAAAAAGGAACAGAACGTTCGAGAAAGTCACGCAGCACATGACAGCAATTTTACCACATAACACTCAACAAAGACAAAACGTCTGTGCAGCATTTTGTAGCTTTAAATTCATCATAAGGGACTTGTCAGAAATTAGCATTGGGGGAGGGGAGGGGAGGTGGGAATTTTAAATTTGGGTTTGGAAATGAGGTGACCCATCCCTGCAATGGGAGTGAAATTTGCTAACCCTCCCCTTGACCTTGGCCTAAAATATCATGACCCTCCCCCTCTTGTATAAATGATAAAATCTAGTTCTTGCAATACACTAGGGTGAGTCAGTATTATGAAAGCTCAAAATATATTTCTAATCTGTTCTTTGTAATGCCATATACATATATTTTAGATGACAGCATTAAGAGTCCGACTCTGAGGCGCCCTTTTCAGTTCTCGGTAAATGAAGTATTTCGAATGAAAGCTGAACATTTTAGCTTTAAGATGAAAGTTTTGACGAGTTTAAAGCTTGCGAAACAGTCACAGAAGACAACGTTCTGTTCAGTTGAGTAAACTTTTCATGGCTAATGTTTACGCTGTTTACCGCGCAGCAAAATTATTGCTGCTCAGAAAAGGGTAGGTAATATGTGATACTTTCAAAGAACAGTTTTATATTTAAAGTGAAGATACTTATATAAAGAAGTTAGGTTCTCAGAAAGTTTATTAATTCTTCTAAAAATACGATTTGTTTGGAATAACAGAGGCCAGAAACATTCACTGAATATTGATGCCAGGTGCCCAGTATCGGGCCAGTTTTTTCTTTGCTGTACAGAATCAATGAATTAGCTGTGTGCATTATTCAGATAAGATTTATTTCATATCTATAAGTAACTATAACTAAAGCTTTGGATATATGATATAGTCATAAAGTGATTATTCCACTCAACTCCATATGGAAATTTTCTTCACTCATTCAGAGGGGACTTGATTTTGTGTGCATGGCTTGTTTTGCGTGAATGCATTTTCTATACACACCTATTTCAATTAAGGTTGCTTCGCTGAGGAATGATGTATGACACATGGTCCATGTTTCATAGCCCGTGGTGCATTATGGGAGCAAGTCCAGTAAATTACTAGAAACCTAGAAAGCAAACATTACTGTCGCTTCTATGCTATGTCAGCAGAACGTTATGACAATGTATTTCAAAACACTGAATCCTAGGTGTTTTAGGACAGTGATTTGAGTTTAGGTTTTGCTCTGTGGTAATATGCAAATGTTGCAAATTTTAAACGAGTTTGCTTGGCTCGTGCACGTGGGAATTTTGGATGGTGTTAAAAAAAAAACAAATTCAAGGGGTTTGTTGAACTAGAATAAATAACTTAACATTACGCGTTTATCTATTTGTGAGGCAATTATTTTAAAACTGAGTAAAACAAGAACACAGGCGACCCAGACGTAGTATGTGTCACTGAATGAATATATTAATATTCACATGGACAAAATAGGACGAGTCGTCGAA